TGACGTGAGAGAATCCTTTCCAACTTGCCTCCTTCGGTGATCAAAAGCAACATTAAATAGAAGTTGGCATTCTCCATGGGACCATAATTGTAAGAGTGCAGAATTAGCAGTGCAGAGGAAAATTCCTAGGGGTGAAGAAGCCAAGCACGAAATCTAGGAAATTAATTCAAGCATCTAATGGATGCTCTCCTAATGTTATCCCTTGACTGCATCACTTTACCTTATCAAAGAACGGCGTACTTCCACCTCCACTTGAGCAAGCTACGTATGTAGTTGATAGTGTCGAAAGCGTGCTGAATGTGGCAACGTGATAATCGAGGTCTAAAATTATTACAGATTATAAACGAAGCTTTACCTTGCGCCAATTCGCACCAGTTTGCAAGCCGTTGCAATGCAGATATCCGGTCCATCAGAAACCACATAAATCAAAGGAGCTGGAGCAAGAGGAATATGGAATAGTTCTAAGCAGGTTGGAGTCCATTCGCCAATATTCTGCGTTAGGATGTGTTGGACTATAGCTAGGTAATCTATACCACATAGAATTCTTTAATTTAAGCTGTTGCATCATTATAGTCACAATCCATGACATAGTGGATTCGATCTGCACAATGAGCATAACAAAAAAGCAAAAATCGCTACTCTACTGTGCTGCACACCTGAATGTCTATAGCTCGTAAAGTGTCCTTAAGGCTGCAGGTTACCCATACTTTTAGATATTATAACAATTATGTGCCTAAATCGTTTACAAAAATAACGAATGAGTATCAACCTCATATTTTTTGAAAGACTTATTTTCACTATCACTATCAATATTTAAGACAGAACTATTAGATCAGTGAAAGCATCAGGTTAGTAAAGGACTACTTTCCTAATTCTTCGACTTACATGTAGTAAATAGTCCGACTAGCATTAATAGGTTCTATACTTCTAGAATACTTGCAAAAACCTCAGCCCATCTTTGAAAATGCGCGGGTGTTGTGCTAGACCAGTTACTGAGTCCTCTGAAACCGCCTACCATGACGCGAAACGAAGTTAGTGGCTAAAGCAATGTTTAGTTCACAATGACTGACTTCTGTGCTGCGCTTGTCCTTCAGAGACTAGAACATCTCATACTATGCGTATTCTACTCGACAAAACACTTTCGGAACCCCAGCGAAAACTTAAAATGGATTTTAGCGACGGTATATAGTTTTACAAACTTTATATATACCGTTCCTCTCCCATCCACTTTCCAGTACTTGAGAAGATCAGCACAGCATTTCAAAATATCGGCAGAGTCTTGGAAGCTGATTTTCTTCATTTATGCATAGAATGATTTCAATCCCAAATCTACGTCTTTAGGCTTTGTGCCTGTGTCAAATCAGAGCCACGCTGTACTTCACATCAATATAATATCAATACAGTATACGGCGCTTGAGAAAAAGTTGTGTGCAGGTTACTTTTTCAGTTCTATCTCAAGTGCAAAAAAAACTTTGAAAAACAAGTATGTTTGAAATGAATTAGAAACGAAGACCTAGTCGGCTTCTAGAAAATGGCTCCAAAGGCTTCAAACAACGAAAATGCTGAGGGTTCGATTAGCATGAAGCACACTGATTAAACGCAGGAAAAAGTGGCCAGAATTCTAGTCAGAAAAAGTGGATGAAAACTTGAATTTCTCTTCTGCATTGGATCAAATAGTGATGGTAATTTTAAATGGAGGGTAAAACATCAATAGCGGTTTCTGTTTATTGAAACGAGAACAAAAATGCGAAATTCGAACCACAACGATCTGACACTGCTCACTTTTCCCTTGTGGAAATTTGCGCAGGAACACTGCTCATATTTATCGGTGTGTATGTTAGCGCCACATTTCTATAACTCATTACGCTATTGCTTGAGATTATGAGCTGCGACGCTGCTCACTCTGAACACCCAGGCCATGAACCAATTAGTGAGTTGGACAATTCCATCCAGAAAGGCAGGTAAGAGCAAAGCTGCCCCTGGCAAAGCCAAACGGTCGTCACAGGGTACCTTCTTTCAAAACGTAGAGGGGGCAGAGGGTTTACATCAAAAGTGCCTTGTCCCTTAATTATGAGAGCGAAACTCACTGACTGTATAGCTCTGACACGCAGCTGGAATGAAAGTCTAGCCTGCCGGCTGACTTTATTGTAATTCACAGCTAGTTTTGTAAGCTTGTTCAAAGATTATAACTACGAACTATTCAATCCGAGATTCTATTCGATTGCACAAACCGTGAGCCGCAATCTAGCCATGTCTTTGCTCTTTATTTTAAAAAAAATTCAGCTATTTAGGAATATATCCTTGACAAAGTACGAATTTCTACTAACGTTCCTGGTAAGAGTGAATCTGTTTAAGATATTGAGCCAAATAATTTGGTACGATTATTAAAAACAAGTTTGAGTGATATGGAAAGAAAGGCCTCAAACACTTCCAGTTAAGATTATAAGAGCACGTTCAATAATAGGGAGTGTTTCACCTCTAACACCGTTAGTGTGCCATTCGCAAGTGCTGCAAATAACCTTCCGTCTGCAGTGTGAAGCTGAAGAGGAGCATCTGGCAGCTTCAGCTCCCACAAGATTGAACTAGAAACAATTGCTAAAATTCTGCTTACAGCGCATACTTATGAAGCAACCGTTTTTTTCAAGGCTCCTTTTTACTTCCTACTGACAGTGTGTGTTTGAGGTTTATTATTATCATACACTTCTTACCATTCATCCAATTGCAAATGTAGAGCGATTATGTATCCAGAAATAAGGCCGGCAAACGCCATGTCCTCATGAATTAAAACAAAGGAGCAAACGCGACAGTCGAACTAAAGAAAACAAAACTTTTAATCATTTCAGCCGAATGTATCCTTCATTAACATAGTTCTACGCTGCGAGACACATTGGTGGGAGCTCATTCTTCCACGACTGGTACATCACCAGATATTATACAATGAAAGAAAGGATGTAAAAAACGCTTGCCTCTATGTCCATTACTGTTGTACTTGCTTTTCTATCTTTTATTCTAATAACTCCAATGATGCCTTGATTTTGATTTCCAGCAATTACGAAGCCTTAATCTGTCACTTTCAAAAGGGATATATTGATTAGGCTGGCGAATAAAAAAATAATAGACAAACGTCTTACATAGTGAAGGGTCATAGTAGCTGAAGAAAAGATCGGATATTGATAAGTCGCACCCATCCGACAATCCGCTTCCCTAAGTAGGTTGGTTGCATATTTTGTGCGAATGTATGTGGAAGACAATTTGCAACTGACGTTTGAGATATGGAGGCTTCGAAGTCGCTGCCTTTGACTCAATTTTTGGTTGAGTTGATCCAAATAACTCAGCTGCTTTGATCTCAAAATATTCCGTGATGGCAGCTGGCCGAGTTCATCAAATGCCAGCTGCAAAATAAAGCTGTGGAAAAAGAAAGTATAGGCTATGATTCCTATGATACACCGCAGAGAGTCTGCGAAACACGCGTTAGTAGTTCCCATGTTTTACAATTTTTAAAAGCATTGCTCAATTTCGTTAGTCTTGTTGTTATTTAATCAAAACGCGTATTCGCCTGAAAGCCCCACAAAAATTATAACACGCACTACAGAAATGCCACCTTCATTCATGTATGTCACATCAATAAAAAACCATTCATGTGACGTGATTTATATGCTATTATGTTGTAAATCGACACCCAAAAATGGCCAAAGTCCTAAAGAGGTTAGCTCAACAATATCGAATGTCAAAGAGCCTTAAAGCTATTCACTGTTTTTATAGAAGCTATAACAGAAAAGTAGAGAACGAACACCATCTCTTTCCATGTTTCTCACATAACGCGATGAAGTTTTGTGTACGCGGTGAATATAGAGGGTAATTTCTACGGGGTGAAGAATGCTCCTTATTTTCTCAAACTATTTACATTTTTCATGTTAGCTATGTATTGTTTCGTGTGCACGACTTGCCAGTTAATAAAACCATATGTAACTAACTTACACGAAACCCTTGCCATATATCTTCCAATATCCGCTAGGCACAGCAAGATGGTGCACCATCTTGACCTTTGTGAACGTTTGCGCCTACTCCAAGCAAAGGCAGCGTCACACGATAACCTACACGTTGTTCCCATCGTCTCCTTCTCCTGCTTCTCCAGTTATTAGAGACCAGTTGCTGATCTTTCTTTTCATATAGCCAGTAGTTCTATGAAAGGTTTCTGTGCACGCAATACACCGTGGATCGGTTCTAGAACTCTCTATAATTCTAAGGGCACCTCTTCAATGTCCCCATATTGTTCCCATTGTCCCTAGTTTTTTGCTCCTCTACGTCATGAGTAGATCTTAAACGGTGACCTCATCATTCACGTAAGCATTATTTTTATAACGGTCTTCTATATTCTCATAATAAATCTGCCTTAGAAACCTCTATGCTATTGTAAGTACACTTTCTTGCTTCTTGCTGTACACTGTTACAATTGCCTTTTGATCACGCTTCTATAGAAATGGTACACTCTTGTCGATCTCGTTGCATTTTTCATTGTTGTGACAACAAAATCTGCCTTTAGGTGACATGTGGAGGTCGCGATGCAATCAACTGCTTTTCCCCTTTCTGATGTTTCCCGCTCATTCTTCGTTTTACTGGTAAAAACTTAACTACTCTCCTCTCAATGATAGGTCCTGAACACCAGTATTCTAAAAACATTTTTCAATCTTCAGATAACCACTGAATATTGATATTGCTGCAATTGCCTAATGAGTTTGATTACGCAGGATTGAGGTTCAAATTGCGACAACAGTAAAGTCTCTAGCGCGCAAATGAGAAAAAGATCAAAGTTCTGTAGTGATATAAGTGATGTAGTAAACAAACTAAATACTAGAAGACAATTAAACAATTTCTTGTTCGGTTCTCAAATACCCTTGAAAGTTAGCCTCAATTTCTTTTCCTACTTTAATTTCAACAAATGAGGTAGTCCTTTGAGAAGAAGACGCTTGCTGAACAAATACAAATACATTGGATGCAAACTAAAAGAAAATAAAAAAGTCTTCAACAATTGGTTGAATAGGAGAGCAGAACGTATATGACAGAAGAACGTACTCTACTTCCTTTCGATAAATCAAGCACGCAAATAAGAATGGACAAACCTTGAAGAGTCCATCCACATCATAGCTAAGGCGCACGGCTGCCTTGATAACTTTCATTATTCCAATAGTGTCACTGCGCGCAAGAATCTCGTCTTGATGTTGTCCTTGAATATGACATTCGATGAACTTACGGCTGCAGATGAGACGACTCTCACATCTCTTCAAGAACTCGAAATGTTGACCATATTTTGCGACCGCTTTCACTGTTTTATTGTGCATTTTGCCACTATTGACGCCCTTGAAACTCGACTTACCGAGCAGTGCTAAGGAAAACCGGAATAAAACTTTTGGTCCTTCAAGGAGAAAGCAGTCCCAGATTCGAAGAAGCGTCTGCAAATAAAATAAGATCTCTGAATATTCTAGTTTATTCAATTTGCTTCCATTAGTAAACAGTTGGTGGAGTAAGGTCTTCATTGCCTTTGCCTGATTGTATTTGCACCAAACAAACATTCTACGCCCTTACTGTAATAGCTGTTAACCCACTCATACTGATCCGCACCCTCAGTCTACTATGCAAATTAAAACCACAGAAGAATACTGTCAAAAACTCGCAAAAGTTAGTTTTTTGGCTAAGAAAAAATTTAATGAAGTATCTCACTAAAACACAATTGATCATCGCGCTGCACTCTCTCATTGGGTATTCGTTTATACTACACAAAGAGATAGAACTTTAAAAAAGGCAGATCATGTAACTAATTAGATTAAACTTACATTAAACGGAACAGCGTCGAAAAAAAGGGCTAGAAACCAGTTCAAAGTAATCGTAGCAAGGTCAATATCTAGTGAATTTAGGTGAGCCGATATGAGCGGAAACTTAACTTCCAGCAGCTCTTTTAAAACCTCCTAAAATCAGCACAGTTACCAATGTGTAAGATTTTTGATGATTCTTTTCCGCGAACTACATCTTGTCAAGTTACATCTACATCAAACCAGCTGCAAGAAGTGGATAATGTTAAAACAGTACTTTATTTAATTTACATACTTCGTTATACCTCATTGATCGCAGACTACTTCTTCGTGCTTTCAGAGGCACTTATAAGTGGTTTCACTGTTCTGAAGCAATTAAGTACACATGTACTATCTAACCTTTACTTGTTTCCTTTCCTCCACTTTTCGCTAACTTATTCATTCAGCTGATAAACCCTATACCTTTACACAATAAGCACAGAGGAATTCTCGTTAACATGTTTTGTACCGAACCTGGTCAGCTTGTGCGCCAGCGAGATTGTCGTCGAAGTAACTCTTGTCATGAAAGTGTTCTGTCATAGCAACGAGAAACCAGAATGTATCCTGAGCAGCGATACGGATAACAAATGCCTATTTTGGGCGATATTCGTCAGTTCACCTACCTCAGGCCCAACGAATAACAGGGCGGTCGACGCCAAGAAGTTCATTCCCTGACAATATCCTAGAGTTGCATTATGGAGGCAAAACGCACGTAGTACTTGCTGGAGTTGCGACACCTTTAACAAATAATTTTTAGAAAGTTTCAGAAAAATATAAATGCAATGTTCATAACGCAGTTGGTTTGTGTTCAACCCACAACTATCAGCATCACCGACGCATATGGAGGTGTCATCGCCTCCCACTGGACGAAGAGAGGACAGAAAGAAACGAAAGCATAAAAACTGCTTTGTAAACCCAAGGAGATCAAAGTTTATTTTGAGAAAATAAAAAAACTCTCGTCTAATTGGTAAATATGTATAGATTGCTGATCTTCAATTGGATGAACAGAGTTCAACAAGAGCTGAGCTAGGTTTTTCTAAAGATTTGAAATTTCCAACTCAACCAGGTTCAATGCCGATTTCTACTCCTTAGATCAACACTGTTGACGGATGATTGCTGATAGCGCCATTGGCGTAAAAAAACTGGTTGAGAGAATAGCAAAACAAGGGTTCGATGGTGTAGCGGTTAACATGTGAGTCCCGGAAAGGGTAATCACGGATTCGAAACTCGTTTGAGGTTCTGAACTTTTCTGACATTTAAGTACCATTTTTATTGAAAAAACAGGTGAATACGTTAGAATTGAAAGGTTAAATTCTTTTCCGCAATATGTGATGTATGGTTTCAATCTCAAGGAATGTGCATGCACTGCAAGAGCGCATGAGTTCACATGTTTCTTATATGTGGCACAACTACGTGTTTGCTTACCCCTTTGCAGTTTGCAGACATGAAATGGACGTTATTAGGCATAGTCCTTAGCAGATCCAGGTTTATTTGTTTCTGATGGTTAGCACAGAACTGAAATCTTTAAGCTCTATTAAAAAATATGCAAAACGCCAATTCTAAGTGCAGTTTACCATGTTGTCTTGCTCTCCATCCTCAAGACTGCAGAGGTTTCTGAAGTAATGCCTGCCATACAGCATTTTCTTGTCAGAAATCTTCTGGTGTATTAAATACCTCCAGACAGTAGCCCGAAGGGAACCTGGTATCCCTCTACGAACAAGAGCACGTGTTTCACGCTGAAAAAGCTATTCAACAACTAATATGAAACCCAGTAATTTTGTTTCGAAAATTCGAAACCTTATGTGGGAAATATTGAGAACATAGACGTACTGTTAGTGGGATGGTTTCATTTACTGTAAGAAAATATTTCCACTTGCGCTTGTGTTCGGAATGCGAGGCGAGCCTACCTTAAAAATCCACGTATATAATCAATATCATAGCTGAAACCCTTTTAGGTTAAACCAAATCCTTTTCCTAAAACCAGCCTCAATATGAAACTAATGTCGTGAATGGAGGAAACATGCCAGTCTGAATAGTGTACCTTCTTCTTCAAGCAAGAGAAACCAAGGCAAAGTAGGCGTAGGAACACTGATATACGTCCAATGAATCTAAGCTCACTTTTTCCGCTAAAATCTCCTTACGCGTGATAGGATCGACTTATTGATGTTTTCGATTAAAATGAGTCTTATATGGTCTGCAGTAGTTTTCCTTTTTCAGTAAGTCGTTTGCTGAGAAATACACTAACTTTGATAATATTCATGAAGCTGCATGGCCATGTAATGTATAGCTAGTCCTTCATCGGAATATTTGTGACGGAATCCAAAAATATCCACATAAACTCCAGTGAGGAGACTGAACACCATGAAGGTTATCAAAGAGCTTTGGCTCAAGGATCGTATAAAATTCCTCATAGAAATAAAAACCTTTGGAGGGTTGGTAAACACGGCTGATTGCAACGGGCTTCGTACATAAGTTCGCAGATCCTGTGCTTGTGCTGAACATGCAAATTCATATCAACGTAAGCGGGTTCACACAAAGTACTTATTAGTGAAGGAATACCATGTCTCCACCAAGAAGTTTGACGTGCATCACATCAAGCGCATTGTTATCATGCAGAGGTATTCTTATGGCAGACTGTAGAGCAAAAACGTACTCTCTTCGTGAGCGGTCAATCGCATCCCGAGCTTCTCGCAGTTCCCTAAACACATTCCATGCGAACATTATATAATTAACGGCTTTTTCACAAGTAATAAAAAAAGGAGCTCACCAACGATTTAAGTAAAGAGTGTTTAGAACATAAATTACTCATTTTGTTACTACGACTTATTCTACCTACATTCGAACCTGTTTCTGCAATGATAGGACGTGTTCCATAACATCCTTTGCAAATGTTCAAAATAGTAGGTGCGGAATGAGGAGCAACCCCAATTGAAATAGGTGCCTGGGTGGAAATGAACAGCGTGCTTGCACTCCTGATGCTACATGGCACTTTGACAAGGATGACACGAATCTTGAACACTTGCTTTGAGTTGGATGGTCTCTCATGTTTGGTGTAGACCTTTTGCTCGGAGAATTCGGGCTACGGTCGCATTCATTCGTACGCCACTTGGAGCAGGAGCCAGAATTTAGCCAAACGTCACTCTCGTATTCACCGACAACGATTAGCTTGTGAGAGTCAGCGCCACAAGTACTTCTGGAGAGGAACGTGACTAGAAGCAAAAACTCTATTCGCTACGGAAGCAACAAGTGCCTCTTTTGTCCTCAGTGACAACGACCCATCAACTTCTTCGAAAACTGATCCGCAGTGTAATAAGCTGATATTGCTTGTCTACTCTCACTAACATGGTATGATCTTCTATGAGTATCCTTAAAAAAACGAGATGGACAGCTCCTGCCACATTGACTAGCTACTCAAACCTTCCGCTGAGTGGAGAGAAAGCGACATTAACTATTTAAATCCCCGCTCTTGCATGTCAGTGCTTGGCTTGCTAAACGTTGCAAAGTTAACTCGTAGAGACTCGTAGAGTTTAGTCGACTTGTACTATCACGTCTTTCAAACTGTGCAACATGGACATTGCACTCTAAACCATCACTCGCTCCTGGTCCTGATTCAACAAGTGCTCCAAAAGAAATTCTGCGAATGCGAATACCTCGAAAAAGTACTTGAGAACACTTTCGGGAATCGAAATTTGTGTTTGATGGAGAAATGGATCCAGTGCTTATCCATAAGTGGTATATCACCTTCAACAATGATATATTGGTGCTTAACATTGGTTTGTGAATAAACACTGCCAGTGACTACATATTAGTGATATTTTATTACATGACCACATATCACATGTATCACAGTAGGCGGAATCCAGTATTTCTTACATCTGACGAACTTTTTTGCGTATGGGTTCATTTGCTGCTTGAAAATTTCCGTCCTTTTCACAAACGTCATTGAATTTTAGTCGAGACTATTCCCCGTCGAATACCGACAGTGCTGTGATTGGGCATTCAAACGTTGATTATAGAGAGAGAGAGAGGAGAGAAAGAGAGGGAGGGAGAGAGAGGAAAGAGGGAGAGTTTGTCCCAGACAAGCTTAGCACCAATTTCCTGATTTCCTGACTCAGACAGAACGAGGCTTGGTGGGCACGGAGTAGGATCGAAAAAGCTCTTTGGTAGGTTGTCCCATCCGCGTAATGAATGGGATCAGTATTACAATACTACCTGTCACACCAATGGCGGTAATGTTAGCAAAACTGAAAACGATTTATGTTGTAATGTAATAACTCAAAACGACACAATAAAAGCGAATTTCACCCAAACATTTGTGTTTGAATAAATTATTGCAGTAAAATTTAGCCGATGTGCATGTACGCGCAAGGGCGCGCGTAGGTTATGTTTGCCCTGCAATACATAAGGGTTTGATCCCGTGTACCAGGCTCACCAATCCCCCCATCTTTTCGGGGTCCACAAATTGGTACCAGATAGGCCCGGGAGAATAGCAGCACTGATAGGCCTCCACGAGTCATCACTGTGAAAGCCAGATATGCATTCAATCACCTCTAACGATTCTTGATGAAGTCGGATGCACGACGCATCCCTCAAAAATTGATCAACGACGAAGACTTTATCCTTTATCTTTTTTTATCAAAGTTTATAGTAAGAAGCACTTTGATTCCTTTACTTCATAAACAGAGAAGTTTACAATAATGTTCTAAAGAAAAGAGGAGTTTACAATAATGTTCTAAAGAAAAAGGAAGGTTAAAGAAGCAAAACTAAAAAGACTATTACAAGTTTCTGCTTATATAAACTCCTTTGTAATAATTCTAGTCATAAAATCGAACAAATGCTCATCCATTGGATCACTTCAAGCACCGGCATGTTTAAAAAATCGACTAACATAGAGATCATACTCTACAAGCTCCTCAAAACGGTCATATTCATGCCCATCGTCAAAAACGTAGAAAAGGTGAATTCTACCTCGCAGAGGACTTAGGTGCATAAACCACATCCAGACGCTTCCAAGGGTTACAGAGACCGGAAGGGCAACCAGCTACTACTTTCCTGGCTTTTGTTGAATACGACAAAGTGTGCAGGGCAACGCTACCCTGTTTGTTTTGGTTTACCAATGTATAAATAACTCTTTTACAAGTACATTTGTTCACTGCAAATGTAAGTGTAGTACGACAAAGTGACATCTTCACTATGCATTCCAACTGCTAAAGGAATACGACAACGCGACACCATATTGCAAAAGCATTCTTCCATACCCTAGTGATACAGGCAGTCATTCACTTAAAACGAAAAAAAGACACGTGTTATTTGAAGATGCTTTTCGAATCTTCATTTCGTCGCCGACACTGTCGCTATCGTATCGCAGACTGAGAGACAACGCATGCCGTGCTTAATGACGCAGAAAGAACTAAGTTTGTGAACTGAGTGGAAGAAAAGCGAATCCACGTGCAAGCCTTCGTGTGAGGGAAACTGAGCATTGCAGATGTACCGAATGAGAAGGCAACATACAGCAAATATGTGGAAATTTACTTTTGGTTACATTAGGAAAGTTCCTTAGAGTATACAAGGTACGTCAGGATGTTTTCTGAAGATGTTCGATTAAAATGCGAAGCACTAAATTCTAAGCCAGCCAGTCTTCGTATACAAAATATCCGAATAATACCATGTTTTCAAGGAGCAGAATGATGAGTCTGTCAGTATGATCAGTCCTAAGAAGTAAATATCAATGGGCAAATCAAACAAACAGAGAAGGTGGTAGGCAAGAGGGTATTAAATTAGTGTGGACCAAAAGAGAATTTCATCGACCTCAGTTTCATTCGCTGCTGAAATAGTCTCGGAATCTCAAACCCGAGATGAACCTACATGCGACTGTGACCACCTACACGAATGTTTGCAAGTCAATAAAATAAATAGAAAATATTCCGACATCTATAAAATGACACCTATGAAATATATAGGAAAACAAGTGAAATAAGAACTAAGAATTAAGAAGCAATGAGAAAAGAGCACGGGTAAAAGTCTGGCCGAAATAGTGACTTGCACAACCATGAGATAAAAATGGCAGCATGTATTTCCACTTATTCTCCATTAGTGTTCTAAAATAACAAGTCCAAATATCAAATAAAGTTGATTAGTAAACATACTCTTTTAGACGTCTAACTGCTTCCTGCATTTCGCAACACTGTCTATTCAGTCGAATAATCTCGGAATTGAGGAATCGATTTTGAGACACAACAGCAACCCGCGAATCAGAACTGTTCTCCATGTTTCGTTGCCTGAAGATGATTGTGGTACTTAGTGTTCGATTACAGGTATTTGCCCAGTCATAAATTTTATCGAGACGGATGAATTCATTGCCTACAACATCGTGTATAATCAAGTGAATGTCCTGCATATTACCGATCACTATTCGGTTTGATAGAGAAAGTACTTGGATTACATCTAGGTTCTCGATAAGTATTCTGATGGCTACTTAACCAAAGAAGCCTTAGTAATAGTAAACGTACTGCAGCAACATCGTCTGCTCCTTTAGCGCCATTTTTTCACGGATTAGTTCATGGATTTGCTTCTTTTGTTGGTTGCTTATAAATCTAAGGTGATGTAGCTCCTCATTACTAGTCCTAAAAACAGCAATCTCTGTTATTGCTGTGCTCAAATTCGCTTGCAAAGTCGAATTCTTTTGATGGACAGCTATTTGCAATATATTCATATACAATTTCGTGCTGAAGCTTCACGATAACGTCTTCAAAATTTGCAGTGACCTCAACAAACAAATCTCCATTTGCCCAACAACGGGAAACAAAGCGTCTTTTCCACGTTACGAATGCGTTTTAACTAGCATTTTTTAGTTATGGTTATAATACGAAGAGATGAAAATATTTTTCCTTGACAAATGGGCTTTGAAGACAGCCAGCTGCTTCAGATTTGGATGTCTACAGTCGATCGATGACTACGAATTATCCATATGACATCTCAACTGTATCCGAATGATTAGACACATTTTCAAAGAGATTTCCTTACAATGGAAATCGTTAGTTTAGCTTTTGCACTCGGGGTTCATGAATTGGGGAGAAATCATGGTAGAAAGAGTTTTGTCTCAAGGAAACTAAGAACTTTGCACCAGTACTAAAACGACTCAAAACACAGAGTTTTATGTACAACTCTTGCTTTAAGTACAAAATGCGCTTTATAGAGAAGCGACTTGTTTCCAATTGGTTTTGCAATAGCTGCGAATAATTGTGTTCAATGAACCCAGTGTGACGTTCTAATATTGAACACAGACACGATGAAAAATCCAGCAAGACTACACCTTCATACTATCGTCACCATGGCGTGAGACATCCATTACGAATGGAGCTGTGATATAGAACTATCAGATTAAAGTTAAGCACTAAAATAGTGGGTTGATTGAAACGTTTTGCACAAGGAATAATTGAAAATTTATAGTTTCTATAAATAGGGTTGTAGCATGACCCGGAGTTACTTCCAGATGAATCTTTGCGCTGCAGCTCAAATTGTACACTCTTGGGGTTCGACTGAGCTAACAGTTTATAGACAGACAGCACCGATCAGCAAGCTACACCCACGAGCCGCCGTCATTCAATTCCCATTGGCGACGAAGAGTACCAAGTGACGGGTGGACGACGACCGCCGATGTGAATGACATATTCGAGGACGCCATAGTGTCCGCCCGTTTATCACCGGTTCAACCACTTCTCTGCTATAGATATGAGGAAAAATGTACTCATGTGATCCATGCGCCTAGAATTTCACGTTGATGTGTTAGCTTGCACATTGCCGACAAAGATGTGTAAATTCTAACAATTTTATTCTTAACTAGTATTTTTTGCTACAACCTGCTAGTACGGAAAATTTCTCTATCAAATAGAGAATTCTCTACCTACCTAACAAATAATCTCTACAATCTTGGCATTTAATAAAGCTCTTTTTGGTGACAGAAGAGGTGATATGGCGACACCATAACTATATCTCCTGCTGGCCACCAGAGGAATAACCAGAATTGTCTAACCTAACTCCGCCCTTCCCACTGTGGGCCCCAATAGCATAACCATGGGAGGCCCTAATACCATAACTAAAATTGGTTATATCGAATGAATTTTTAGCCTAGTTTATCTGCCTCCCTTTCTTAGCATAGTCAAGCTGATATCCTCGATTCTCCACTAACATAAAAGGAGAGCTTGCCGCATCATTCCATGCGCAAGTCTTTGTCACTGAACACAAGGCCTGAATCTTTTCTATAAGTCCTTACAATATTATTGCTGTAAATTTGTACGGCTTCCTTTCTCAACTGAATACGTTGCCATGTGGTCTTGATTGAATAGTGATTGTATTAGACCCCCCTTCGCTATCCACACTCTCTTTCCCACTTACTAAACAAGCCTTCTGTTTCATAACCATCCATTTCGTTAATTAAATAGCAATTATATTATATCACCTGTTCACTCACTACATCACTTCATATACTCAGTGAACAAATGTCATTTTGCAATCGTGATTGTTCGTGACCTGATATAGTTGCGTTGCATTACACCCGGAACATTACTGCTGTTGTTTAATGGCAGTATTATGTAAACAAAGGCTTAACTACCCAAACTTCATGTTGATTCTGTACAAGCGCAAACAAGTTCCACGCAGCGGTTACGAACAGGCGAGCGTTCAACTCTACTGAAGAACTAGCACAGATAGAAGTGTATTTCAATACAGACCAAAAATATTTTCTCAAATTACTGATAACATAAAACGCCATTCAAAACGGAATACAATGGAACATATTCTTGCAGAGCAAGGAAAACATATCGATTAGAAAAACACAGTGGTAGAAAATTTTTCCAGAAATTTCTCAGTTCCACTAGATACCGGAGCCCCACTTATAGAAGTAAGGTTTTTTAAAAGAATTTCGTGAAGACATTTTTACTCAGTCTAATAGAATATCGCGCGTACCGTTCACTTCCTGTTGTTGAACCCTCTACACTTATACCCGGAGAAGTCGAAAAAGAAGGGTCTAAAGAGCCAGATCTGAAAAAAGCAATTCCTCATCAATTTCCTCTATGGTGACAGTTTGAAATTACAAATAATAAAAGGAGAGGTTATTTACTCTTGATCCTTGCGAGAAAACTTTTGTTCCTGCAGCCAATTGTTGACCCATTCATTTAGGTTCTGGTCGATAATCTGACCCTGAACTTGGTACAGTACACGAACAATTAATCTTGGTTGAAGATTGTTCTCTCATTTCGGTGTTGAATTAAAATTGGTTTAATAATATTGGATTGGTCTATACAATCTAGTGAAACACCCAAGAGACCCCGATATGCAGCATGATAAGACAGGGCGTAAAAATGTAGGATTTCAGCATCAAATTAGGCTAGAAAAGTGCAAAATCCGAGGAGATGATCCCGCCTTAAAACCGCTAGGTTTGTATCAGAAATATAAATAAAGAAGTTTATGATACAGACGATAAAAATCAAATGCAGTTTTACTGAGTCTGCAGCTGCAGTCGAATTTATGTCATGTATGAAACAACAGCCGTCCTCATCGTCAGATCTGAGACCCAAAGGTAGACGATACATCCTTTAATGCGACGAAGAAAATTGTTTCGTTTGATGTAGGTGTGCAAAATTTCTCTTGAGAAGACTATAACTTTCAGAGTGCTGTTTGGATCCTCAACGAAAAATTAATTCGAATAATTAAAGAACGATGAGCTGTTTCATATGGATTGATAGATTAAAGCGCGCTGAGTGAGAAGATAGGATTTGGATTGGCAGCATGCGCAGCATGCCTTCCTGTTCACCGTCGACTCAAGGGGGCTGCGGTAAAGTCTCCACTTGTTGCTCTTGCTTGCAATGATAGCCTAGTAGGTTTCGTTCGCACTATGGGCTCACAAGCACCACATCCTTTTTCATAATCTTCATTTTAAAAAACTCTGGAAATTAGGTCGTGGACTTCCTAATTTGCGTTTGACATCCAGAGAAATGCAGTTCCTAAGTATTCTTTCCTATCGGTTGTATGCTGCCCAATGACGATGTGTCCCATCCTCGATTTTCCAAATATTGGCGTGTACAACCGTGTTTTTGCTTTTTGCTTATCGGGTCGGAACATCGGTTTCGCTTTCTCATTAAGATGATACGGAATACTTCTAGCATTGCGCTTTCGATTGCGCATTCTACAACGCTCAGTGATCCTTCGCTTTGTTTGCGTAATAATGAAGCTTCTAACGCGTACATCTAGAAAGGAAGAATGGTGAAGTACAAAAGGTGGTAATGGAATAGTGTGTTTATACCTCTTCCCGTTACAATGGTAATGTTCTCGGAACTCCACAAGCGGCTCCGTTCCTCTTGCTCAACTCTGAATCTAAATCGTTCATTATGTCAAGTTCCCAGCCCAGATACATATCTTTCAGGCTGGCGTGAATATGACAATCAAAAAGAAATTTGTTCCTCATTAACGTCGTCATCCTGGTTGTCAACGTCGGCCAGTATTCGTTCCGCCTCACTAATGTTTGGTGTTATAAGAATGGTATCATTATCAAAGCAAAGATGGTGAAATTCCGCACCACCGTTTTGCACTTCCACGTTGTCCCATTTCAATTTTCTCATGACATTCCCGAAAGCAACCGTGAATAATTTTGGTGAGATCGTTTCACCTTGTTGAGCCTCTCTCATTACTTCGATATTAACATCGTTTCCACTATTCTCTTTCTTAAAGCCGCAGTAGGCCCACTTTGTGCGTAGAAATTAGATCATTTCATGGCAGTGTTTCGGCTAGCGTTGCTAATCCACTTTCTGACCTATTCAGACGCATTCTATAACGCTTAGAACGTAATAGAGAACGAGAAAAGCAGCTATAACGTGAGATGTAATAGCTGCTGCTCTCCCTTCAAGGTCTTCTTTGATCGCCTTCTAGAGAACTTATCAAGCTCGGACATAAGCTGGCGATTACCGTTAGCTATGACTCCGTAGTTCCGAATTGGTGCTGCTCTTCTTGGAGGCAGGCATTTCTTGGTGATTTTTGGACTCTGCGCATTTTACAGTACTGGAGTGAAGATGTTGAGTAAGCTCGTCGCACTCTCCACTGATGTGTACAAATTTTCTAAAGTAAACTAGGGCTCTGAATAAATCCAGAACTATGGTGCTTTTGCGATTTCATTCTGTGAACTTCACAGCTTGTCTCCTTTCTGCACGGAAACGAATTTTACCGCCGAGGAGATTGTCTAATCCCGCTTAAAACCGTGGGATAACAACGACGCCGGTTCGATGAAACTCTCGGCCCACCTCAATGTGACCTATTTCATCTCCATTGGCAACCTCCCAGTTCCAGCGTTAAAGGTGTTGCTTTCGTAATCGTGAGCTACTACCATTGTCCTGATTGCCATTATAAAACTAGAGAGCCTCTTACCCTGTTCGTTTCATTTCAATCCAGTGGTCTCGATATGCTGTTCATCAGACGTCCTCCTGGGTCCAACCTTGGGACTGAAATTGGCCTTAGAGGAAATATGGTATCTTTACAACTTCTCCGTTTCTATGCAGAATTCTTCGATTTTGTCTTCGCCATAGGTTGATGTGGATGCGTAAACGAAAATGACCGTTAAAACAGATTTTGCTTTACATCTGCTCAGTCATAAGCGAATGTAAGCACCAATTTCGGGTGGTTAGATGGTCAAAGTATTCAATATTCATAGCCAAGCTCGGTATCACAGACTGTGTTAAATGGGTGGCGCTTTCCTGCCTCAATCGCTCCAATGATGCCGTATCTAATCTTCTTATCTTTCACCATCAGGTCATCAGTGGAGGACTCGGATGTGAAGGAGTGCATTTAAAGTACAGATCGTGAGCATAGCCCTTCAAATTTAAGCAGCTCAGAGTTGCGCTGAAATTTTAGCAGCTTTTTTCTACATTTGCGAAATACGATGTGCACATGTGCGAACATGCCAGGTATGTATGCATGAACATTTCGATGTTAATACGGATGGCATTCATCAAATCGGCTCACCAGAGATAGGGAGCCAATCTCCTGCGTACATCTGAGTCTCAAGAGAGCACAAGATCGCTCTTGATTAAGGTTTAAACCATTATTTGCCACCACCGCCCGGCTCGCTATTAACCGGCTGGGGATTACTCAGTGAGGAAGAATAGCGATATCCAAACTAGCTCGAATACTTCGCCATTTTATCCTTCTGACGTCTGAGAGGATAAAAAAGAGATAAAGCTTCCGGCGTTGATCAATCCTTGAGGGATGCGCCATGCATTCGACTCACTAAATATCGTTCGAGGTGATTGAATGCATATCTGGCCTTTACAATGACTTGCGGTGGCCTAGCGATATATCGAGTTAGTGCTGCTAACCTCCCAAACAAGTCTGGCACCAATTTGCCGATCCCGGAAAGATGGAAGGCTTGGCGGACCATGGGTGTGCGGATCGATTACACAAGTGTGTCGCAGTGGCGCCTCCAACCACTGCGCCACTCGAGCCCTTTTAAGAGGATATCATAAGAAATAACTTATTCACAAAAATTCCTCCACTGTGAAAGTAAAATAAAACTTTTCTTTTTGTTAGTCTACTACCAATGAGGTCAATAGAAACCAGAACTTCTTCGGTAAATAACACCATTTCCTCACTATAAACAAGAAAGCCCAAATAAAACCGCTCAGGTGGAACAAATGTTTCTATGTAACATGTGCAGCGCAAAAAAAATAGACCTTGATAATTCTAGCGAAAACATTAATGAAAAACTGAGCCCAAAAATGTGAGCAACATTAGGGATTTAAGGAGCGTCGATAGTGAACAAACTGATTAGTAAACATCTCCTGCCTCAGAGCTTTGGCTACCTCATTCTTCCCGTGACAGTGCTAGGAGACCGTTATCCTTCAAGCCTAAGTGATGCTATTGCAAACATTCGTTAACAATTGAAGGCCAGTTGATCTGTTCGATTTAGATCACTATTTCGCCATGCACTCAACTATATGCGTCTTTGCGAATATTTCTTTAAAGAGAAGGCGAAAACTGCTTGGCATCATTACTTTCAAAAAAGAACAAAATGAAAGAGACTATGTCAGGAGTAAAAGTAATATGGAGCTATGGCTTAGAAGCACTACCAATGATACCACTTGCCTCTGGTGGGCCTCGATTAGTAGTTGAGTCTTCGATTCCACTGATGTGAGAACGGGCGAAAGGGTCCAGATAGTTTAATTTCTTTTCTAATACTGATAACGCCATATCTGTTGATATACGACTTGCACTACACGAATCTAAAAAAAAATTGGCTATTGAAGAGCACCTTCTCTAAAAATGGATAGCCTTTGTAAGCTTGAACTCGCTAAATCTTTTCACTCGTATTTGAGCGTGGAGGTTCCGCTCAATCGTCAGTCACAAGATTTGCTCAGATATCGGCATATGATATTTAGATGACTACGCAACCGTTTTCGACTCTTTACCTGCATACATAATAGGTCACCATTGCCGCTTGAGAAATAATTTTAAACGATGCCTGATTTTTGACATGAGGTGATGACTTAAAAGAAAAGGTGATCCACATGGAAAAGTTTCACTTACACATACGCCTGCTTAGTGGCAGTATAAGGTTGTAATCGTTCATAGGATGACCATCACTTCCCTAAAACTTTTTTTTATAATCTTAACAACCAAAATAGTGAATTGACCAGCAAAACTTTTCAAGAAGTTACTTACTGGTAAACTACGACTTCTCTCTCGTTTTCTCCTCATACTTTTAAACCGACTCTTCCGTCTTAACTGAGACGTCACCGCTCTATAATTTTTTTTTTACTTTCTTGTCTTCCGTACGTTTTCAATATGTACTTTTGTTCTCGGAACAGATCGACCAACATAATCTTACTTGGATCCGTTGCAACCCGAAATCGGTTGCATGCCATTTAACAAACCATTTTGTGAAACCATTTAGAATTGTATAATCAATAACTCATACTGCGAGAAGTAGTGATTGAGTACCTATGAGATAGTGCTTCAAGCCAACATTCGCAGCTTTCTCGATTAGGAGCTTCCAATTCAACCACTTTTTCCCCACTACTGAAAGGTTCTAATGTGATAAAACACAAAAGCTATGTCAACAGTGTGAAAATTTCTGTTTTCAAATAGATCTTAAACACTCACTGTAATATAAATATCCTTTCGCTTTCCTCAGCAACCGTAAATGCAGCATTTGCCAATGAAAGCACTCCAATGGGCTCTCGTTTCGCAACCAGATCAGATTCATCTTTGTAATAAACTAGTTGACTGCTCATTTCATCGATGGCGAAATAATACTGCTTTCTGCTTCTTAGTAAGCTGAGGGCTAAAACACCGGTTTTATAGTAGAAACAACGAACACAAAGTTTTTAGGCAACAAGCTTAGTATATTAATTTTTTTCACTTCTTTTTCGTAGAACTTATTCTAGGGCGGAGAGGTGAGAAAACCACCGTACGATGTACCACAAATCTTCCCGCATAAAAACGGAGGGTCGTACTCTATACCGAAAAAACCTCGCAAGTAAACATGACGCTTCCTGGCAAATACGTGCAGGCAAGCTACGCAATCGGTTCGAAACTTTGAATATAGTGTGAATTCATAGAATGAATGACCTATAACAGAAACAATGAACTCGAACGGCAAACACATCTCGCTATACTCCTACAACGTTGAAACAACAGTAACTGGCTATGACCCACGTTTCGATATTCACATCGCCTAGCCGTTCAGGTCAATATTACTTTGGAAGCTATATTTGTGGTTTAGTATACTAATACTATTATTCTTATTCTGGACTATTAGTCTAATGAAAAATAATGACTGCTTTGATTGTTATCAAGTGCGTAAAGAAAATCTCTATAAGTATTTGTTGCCCAACAACATTAAAGCTTGCTGCTTAACTATTCACAATTCAATACTTTCCTCTAATGACTAATCAGCAACGATTTTAAGCTTTCCGAAATAACACTTTCACACTCTGAAAGTCGCTAACTTCTACTGAGTCATTTCAAACATAGGAATAAAACAAAGGTAAAACTCAAAACGTAATCTGTGCGTGGACCCCAGAAGAGCTTCCAAACGCACGATACACACTATACGATGGTTGGTGACGTTTCGTAGCGGAGAAATAAGTCTTTGACTGGCGATGAAGTGAGACGAGGTTCTTTTACAAGTTCTAAAGCCGAATTTGCATAGGAATTCGCTTACAACGAATTCTGTAGTTCCCAGTAGAGGGAATTACGCAGTATAACATTTCCATTCTTGGCGCAACGATCATGAAACGAGGGAAACACCAAATGCACGTGATTCCACAAAAACTGCAGCGAGCGTATTCAGACGTGCCCAATAAAAGGAGGCAATTTCAATGTTGTCATTCAAAAGTGTCTATTATATTTTTTACTAGCCGCAAAAATTGTTCGTTCGAAAGGGCAAAGGACGAAACATAACGGAACTTTGTTGCCATTTTTGTCAAATTGATTTCTCACGAACTACGACATAACAGGAGAAATAGTAGAATATATAGTACCGCCTTTAATCTTTTCAAAGGATTCTACCATTCTTTCCTTTTCTTAGATTTTTCTTAGGCCTTTTCCACTACATGCCATATTTCTCGAAGTCTTACACGTTCCATTCTTTCAACGAAGACAATTTTGTTAGTCAGTGAGTTGGAGATTGGAGAATATCGCGGAATGAATAAAAGTAAGAAGAGTAGCAGAATTTTTTTCTTTGTAAATGAATCCCTTGGCCTGCAGTTGTCTTTTGCACCAATAGCACCAAGAAAATGACACCACCATAAATCGTTTCTTGATAATTGTGCAGGATGGATCATTTTCAGGCACAAAATCAACATATATTTTTTGTACCGTACCTCCACCTCCGACGGTTTTCATGTGAAGCTGTCCAGCTAGTGAGAACCCTCGCATCTGTATGCTCATTATGGCTATGCACACCTGTCACGAATAAACTCTGTACAAAGCGTGTTGTCAAATATGACACGTTTTCATGAAGTTCACTACTATGCAAGATTACTATACATCAAGAAGTTCATTCACTTTCGTTCACCAGCCTCCAAAAACGAAAGTAAAACGTTTTGAAGGAACGTATGGAGCAGAATTGAAAAGTGACCATCATCATCATCATTACAAAAAGTTGTAGCCGAAAAAATGCGACTAGAAACCACTATAATGTTAAAACCTAACAAACGCAAAATAACTGGGATTTAAGCAGTTTAATTCCCGTTACCAGCGATTACTGAGCCAAACCCTTGTTATTCTGACTGATTTTCCAGTTATCGATGTGGATAAATATTGATTGAAGCAGTACTGGTAACGTTGGTGCACGATTTTCGGTAGAGCGAGAGAGGTAGATAATGTGATAGAGAGCCCTCGTAACGACATAACAGATTAGCAAGCTATGAATTTCATGAAATATTTCCTCTTGACAGATGCATGAATGAAGGAAGATTGAATAACTGAAAAAAAGAACTTAATACGCTAAATAAAAGTGGTGATGTGGTGAGTGTTTAATTCAGGGGAACGTCCAGTATGAACGCGATTTACGGCTCAGATCCAGTAGGCACGAATTCAAAGATGTGATGCGAACATTAGGTATAGGGAGTGGTGAATGGGGAAACTGTATCAATAAGCAGGAGTGAATTGATTATAAGCATGGAAATCGTCGATATTTGAAAAACAGCATTGTTTAGGCATGAAAAGCCATCGATGGACGTCTGCCTGCAGCACTCCCGGTTGTATACACAACATGCCAGACAGCGCCACACATTGGGCGATTCCCAGCAAACGTCGAACAGATACAGAACAATAACACAGTATTAGTTGAATCGTGAAATATGCTGCTTCCATTTAAGCGACTCGATAAACTTGACAAGGAAAGCTCGTTAATTCCAACATTTGCTGAGAAACGAACGTGAAACGTCTAGACTCACTCTTTCGAAGATCATTGGAATAGAAAGCACCAGTTGTTAGTTGCAAATAAATGCATCAGAAAAGAAGAATTGGAAGGTTGTGTCAGTTCTTCATGTGGCCGTCGAACAATGAGGGAGTGAATAGAATTTGTGAATATGTTAGGTATGCCATTTAGAGGATTATTAGAGCTACTCTTTTATTATATTTCAGAGATTGTGAATAATCTTCCCACGTACATTTTTTATTCGTCGAATGGAAACTCGGATAACTCAGCTGAAGCCTACTGGTAATGAGTAGTACTCACGCAACCTTTACAAGGCCCATTTTTAATTAAAGTAGCCAATTTTTAAAAGCATTTTATAGTAACGAGACCAACATTTAAGCGACTTTGTTGAAAGTCGTCAGCAACATAAACGTGAATTGCCAAAGGTGTTAACAAATTTTTCACCTATGGATCCTTGAATGACTGTAAAAATGGTTTAAACTCTTGCATAATCGCAGTAGAAAACAATTCAGTAGAAAATAAATAAATAAAGGATAAGGATCGAAGACAACGTGCACGGCGTCGACCAAACACTGTAGGAAGCGCGATTCATTCGACTTCCTAGTGTTTTGCAGAGGTGATGAAATGCATATCGGATCTATACAACGACTTGTAGCGATCTACGAATGTGTTAATTCAAGGACGCTATCCTTCCGGGCAACGGCTACCAATATGTCGACAATGGAGGACGGAGGCCATGGTGGGTCCATAGTGCGGGAACCAACCAGGGGCCACCTCTAATCACTGCGCTAGATGCACCCTAAATAACGGATAGACGGATAAAAGTTTAAATGCCAGAGTACTCAATAGAGATGGGCTACCACATTCCTTTCTCTTCATAGATTCCGCAATCTGAATGCAGTGTTCTTTCAGCTTGTTTGCCGCTAATCCACTGACGTTCCGTTAACTTCAAGTACTTGGTTGTGTTGTGAAGAAAATACTTCAGTAAAATCAACCGTCTTTTAAAAATTTAATAAAAAGAAGCAAAACGTTGAAGTAATGACCAGATAAAGTTGAAAGAGAAAGCCGAGAATTATTATTTCTAACCCGCTCTGGTGTTTGTTGAGACATTCCCACTCTTGCTCACAAAGTTATTGGAAGCAATGAAGGGCATTCTCTCTAATTTGTTTGCCCAAAGCATTGCTAGAGTTCAGGCACTTTTTTCGGTTTCTTTTTCGATATTCCAGTGATTATATCACCATTACTAATGATTTATATTGCAAATATTTATTTTACTTCATGTGATCCGTTTTAGCATCTACCGCGGAGATCCCAGCATTTCTCACATTCGATTCGATTTCTCGCACTGTCTATCCACTATGGTTTGCCAAGTTAACGAGTGGTATCGACTTTTGCTTGAGGAGCTACATCGTCGTAGAACGCTGATCGAGTCGATTCTCACTGGAGTCCTGAGATAGCCGGTATACAGCGTTCCCAATTGAATTGCAGAGAACGTTTTCTCACAAACAAGTCCGGTACTAATTTCCTGACCCAGGAGAGATGAGAAACTTGTAGGTCCGCAGCGGGATTGAGCCAGCACCACTATTTATTATGCGAATGAAAGTTTATACATGAAGTTTTCTACCAAGTTTATGAAGGTGTTTGAAGGGACTAACTGCGTGTTAATTAATCCTTTCTGGACTCTGAAGAAGACGAAACCGCCGAAGCGTCAGCTATTGCGAATAAATGATGTAATAAGAACAATGTCAGATTTGCTCATCGAGAAAAGAATGAATTACCGTACAATGCGAAGGTTAAAAGAAAGTCGATTCTGAGATTTAAAATCCAAACGATGGTATGGAGAACAAGCAATTTTGCCTCATTTTGCCACGGAAAGAAGAGCGAGATTTAAAAAAGAAACCTTTTTACGTATCCCATCTTTTCGCATCTGCTATACGGATCCCAGCACTTTTGTATTCTATCCGTTTCTTCTCGATCTTCCTCAGTGAAATTCTTCGAACTTTTGGTAATGGATCTTTCACGCTCCGCAATCCATTCTCATACCCCGAAATTCTCGCTTGTGAAAAACCACTAGGGATTCTATTCGCCAAATCTCGAGATGCGATAGGAAGCATGAAGAGAAGCGCAGCTCCAGAACCGAATAATATAACGGCCAATTTGCTTCCATAGAAAAACACACAATACAATACAACAGTGGCTGACGTTTCGGCAGTATCGCCTTCTTCAGAGTCGCTTTTTTATGTAACTTCCAATAAGGAGGATTAGAACAGCTGATTATAGTCGCATTTTGCTGATTATAGTGGCATATTGTTCGTGATTTTTCACAAGCGAGGATTTGGAGGTCTGAGAATGAATTGTGGAGCGTGAAAGATTGGTATCGAAAATTTTGTTATCAATTCCACGTCATACTGGAATGTAGTGGTAGTCACATCTTCGTTCATAAGAGCGGTTAGTGGAACGTTACAGTCGTAAAGATCCCGACGGTGCCACTTCAGACCAGATCGTTTTTGAGCTGCTTCAAGTAACTTTGTTCTTGTTCTTATTTTTTCGAACAACTCATTGGTGGTAATGGGGGTGTGGTTCGATCCCTTCTTGTTTGAGGAAATGAGGCGAGCTCTGCATATGTTTCAAGCCCTTCGACAAGCAGCGTGTAGTCCACGCCCTGCTCTTCGTTTATCTGCCTGTCAGATGAGAAGAGGACGTTATTGAGAATATCCTCGTCATATACGACCTGTTTCGTTTCTCTTAAGCGATAGCAGGGAATCTGTTCTAGCTTATGGCTAGATCGAATCTTCGCATGGAGGAGGCGGTTATCAGATTCTGCACAGAATCCAGGTACCACTGAATTGTCAAAGAGGCACCATTTCGGACTCGCGCCTTCAATCGTGGCCCTTCGAATTGAACAGCAGCATTTTTTCGTACACCTTGGACTATCTGGTTCTTTTGGAGAAGAGGAATATTTTTTCAATAGCGAGAGTGATTTGGGTTGTGAATACGACAGGATTGTAAAAGAAGAGGCTTTACTCTATTTCGCTGTTTTCATATCCGGGTATTCCTTGCAATGACCATAGTCATTGAAATGAAATGACAACTAACTTTTGGCCAAGCGATCGACCAATGAACATTTTCTAAGCGACATTTTTTACAAACTATTAAATGTAGAGAATGGTTATTCCTGCCTCACCTCTACTATTTTGATCTGCTTTCGATTGCCTATCCAAATAATAAACGTAGTGCGGTAAAAAAATCCTGGAAAGCGCTAAAATGAAAACGGGCACTACGCTGTCCATCCTATCCCCTAGTCTAAACACCTATGAACACTATAGTGCCTATGACACTCGTTATGGATTAAGGAATGTTCCTAAGCGACGGTGTACATAGTGTGCCCGAATCAGAACCGAGTACAGCAGGCAACCCATCGCGCCAGCGGTTCGTTCCCATGTAGTGCTGCTTATGGTCTGGACGACTACGGACTGCACTAATGGGTTCGTCTAGCGTGGCAGGAGTGCTGTAAGTTTTGATTTACAACAGTTTTTTCATGGGAACTTCGTTTGATGTACACAAGAGTTGCGTCGTTGCTTCACGTTTGTGTATACCTACATGTATATATATACAACATACATGTATTTTACATGTGCATGCATACGTGCATATATGTACATGATGTGGTGTGCTTGTGTACGTATATGTACATATATGTACTTATGTATATTTATATGAAGAATATCTCGGGAGACCCTGCTGAAGGATGAATTCCCCTGTTCTACATTGCAGCGCTACACCCAAGAACACCTAGCCACGATGAGGCGTTAGACCGTTAGGAGGTATATGAAGGTATATACAATATTTGTGCATATATATTTTATATATATGGTTCAATTTAAGGCAGAGACACGTTGAACTGTATTCTTTTAGTTTGTTTCTTGGTACAAATGTGTTTGAACGCTCTGGAGCACTTGCTTGTCTAAGTCGCTCAGCACTAATCACGTTGTTT